CAGACTTGATGGTAGATCAAATGTTTTGTGCCTAGGTTGGTGTTAATGTTTCTCTTTGGGCTGCCTGCAGAGTACCTTCCCATATCAAGGACACTAGAACTCAGGGGTGTAGGTTTGATGCCAGCACCAGCTCAACCTCTCCTTATTCAACGAAATGTGTGGGTGTTGTTTTCATCAAGGGGATTTTTCTGTCCATTTGCAGAGAGCAACCTATTATCTTGGCAGCAGTCTGAGTTGTTTGAAAATTTCCATGGGACTCCTTTGGCCAACAACTCAATTGGATGTAACCCAGTCCTGGTACTGGAAGCTTTGTTTAGTGACAAAAGATGAACAGCTGGAACTCCATCTTCTTCATTATTTGGAGACTTCATTAGGATCACCTTCATATCTCTAAAAAGTTTCCACTGTGTTAGGTTGCATAATACCTCTCAAATACCCATCAATTCCAGCTGCCCTCCCCACATACCCTTCCTCAACCCCACCCTTCCTCCCTCTCCCCATTGATCCTCCAATTCCTGCCACCTCTACCCCAGTCCACCCATAAAGTCTATTCTATCTACCCTCCAGACACTTCCTGTGTATTTGACCTCTCTGTGACTACAGATTGTAGGTTGGTTATCATCTATTGAATGACTAATGTTCACATATAAGCAAATACATAACATATTTATCTTTCTGGGTCTGGGTTATCTCACTCAGGGTGAATTTTTATTTTTTCCATTCATTTGCCTACAAATTTCACAATGTTATTTTTTTAGCAACTGAGTAATTCTCATTGTGTAAATGTACCACATTGTGTTTGTCCATTCTTCAGTTGAGGGACATCTAAGTTGTTTCCATTATCTGGCTATTATAAATAGAATAGCAACAAACATAGTTGAGTAAGTATCCTTGTAGAAAAATGAAGCATCTTTTGGGTATACCCAGAATGGTATATCTGTATCTTAAGGTAGATCAATTCCCAACTTTCTGAGGACCACCATACACATACCCAAAGTGGCTGTACGAGTCTGAACTCTCATAAGTAATGGATGAGTGTTCCCCTTGTTACACTCCCTTGCCAACATGAAGTGTCACTTGTGTTATTGGTCTTAGCCATTCTGACAATGTTCTGATTATCATTTAAACATACCTCTCTTTCCATAGGGTGTTATCACTTATAGTTATTGTCTTGCAGTACACTCTGCTGATTATCCCTCTTCTATAGCTAATTGGTGTCTTCAATGGAATGGTTATGTGACAGAATGCTCAAGGGTGACTTTCTGCAGTAAGAATTTATTTATATACAGCAGGCACACAATTAATACATAACAAACTTTAATGAAAAAAACAAAAGAAAATTACCTCACCACTGTCTGGAGGGAACCATGTCTTCTCTCCCCTTCTGCTAGTACCCGTGCTTAAATCTGTGTTTAAAATCTTGTCTTTGTTGACTCCAATTTTGTGTCATTAAAAAAGAAGTTGTCTAATTTCAGAACAATGATATGACCAAGTTCATTAGCATCTTGAATCTCTAAACTATAATAGATGAGGGGTGTGCCTTGCTGTGTTCAAACTCATTTAATATCTAAGAACATCAATGCTACATTTCTATTTTCGGAACAATGAATTACACAGATGTGAACTTTTCCCTACCAACTTTCTACTTCAGATGTGAACTATCCAGATTAAATCCCAGTTTCACAATTTGTTTTGTATGCATGCCTACCCCTAGTGAGTGGGTGCTTTCTGCTTTGTGAAATGCCTACCTCAGAAAGACATTTAAAAATGAACATTCTTAAACCAGTGAGATGGCTCAGTGGTAAAGGTACCTCCCACCAAGCCTGACAGCCTGAATTTCACCCAGAGGACGTAGGTGGTGGAAGGAGAGAGCCAATTCCCACAAGTTGTCCTCTATGCACTCCCCTTCCTGACACAGACATAAAATGAATAAATGTAATGCAATATCTTAAGATTTTAATTTACATGTAAAATGTTGAGCCTATTACCTAACATATCATATTTAACAATTCTGGCTAGGTTCTATTACATGTGTCAAAAATAGGATTGGGTTCAGAACTGTCAGTTTGCAATTTACAAAAGAGTTGTGTGAGTACTCGTGATTGTATTCATAATTACTAAGACCTGTCAATCATTGTCATTAAAGAAATCATCTCTAAATGTAAACATTAAACAAAACTGATTATTTTATAATATAAAGCTAATTGTTTAGTTTAATAAATAATCAAGTATCCAGAGTTACAGAATTGGTAATAAAACAAATATGTGTGTTTGAATTCCTCTAACAGAACAAAAAAAATATGTTACCATTTAATAAGGGGAAAAAGTGACATAATAAAAAAGATTTATTTTAAAATACACTAAAAGACTATTTGGATGCACTATAGTTTTTACAAACCAGATTTTGATGACATAGCCAAATGAGTCAAAAACATGTGAATTAAATTTTCCTTTAAAAACTGCATATGGTGTAAAAACAAATAAAAAATAAAACACTGAGTACAATGATCTTGGACTTTAATAAATGTCAAATACTTTAAAATAGTGGCATTTGTAAATGTAAAAGGTCAGACATTCATTAAGTAGCATTTTCTTGTATGTTTTTTATTTTTACTTCAATCTCAATAATTTCCACTTGACTTAAACTTGATGTAACATAATTTTATAAATTTTGAATTAGGCTATACTATACTCTAGTACTGTAAAGTTTATCCTGCTCACATCCCAATTTTAGTAACTAAAAATAATAAAACTTATCATACAAGAAAGTACTACTAAAATAAGGTCACATGACAACAAATGAAAAACATTGGCTTACAAAGGTTGTTGGCTAAATGGAACAATCTAACCACATAGCCTAGACTCAGATTAACTTTCCTTATATAGCATCTGTTGTACACTTCTCTTAAGGAGACATGAACAAATGTCTATTTGCCCCATGGTGATCAGATAGGATGCAAGCATTAATTCTATTTTTATAACTGTTTGCATTAGCTTTGTGTCTTAAGTATTTGGTAGGTACTAGAGAAAATTGAGCTGCTGAGAAGAAAGTATATTCCTTTGTATTTAGGTAAAATGTTTATAAATATCTGTTAGGGTCATTTGATTTATGACATTATTTAACTCTGACATTTCTCTGTTTAGGTTTTGGCTAGATGACCAGTCTATTGGTTGAGAGTGGGTACTCAAGTCACCCATTATCACTATGTGAGGGCCCAACACATGACTTTAGCTGTAGTAATGTTTCTTTGTGAACTTTGGTGCCTAAATGGTTGCAATATCTTGGTGGATTCTTCCATTGGTGAATATGTAGTGTCCTTTCCTATCTCTTCTGTTTAGTTTTGGTTTGAAGTCTATTTTGTCAGATATTAAAATGACCATACTGGCCTGCTTCTTGGATTCATTTGCTTAGAATACCTTTTTCCATCTTTTTAACCTGAGGTGATGTCTATTCTTAAAGTGTGTGTTTCTTGGATGCAGCAGAAAGATGAATCCTGTTTTCGGATACAACCTATTAGTCTGTGGCTTTTTATTGGAGAGTTAAGACCATTAACATGGAGAGTTATCAATGAGCAGAACTTATAGATTCCTGATACTTTGTTGTTATGCTACTTGTTTTTCCTTCCTCTTTGTAATACTGTCCTGGCATTATTTGTTCCTTGTGTCTTTTTCATTGAGGTTAACACATCAGAGTGAAGTTTCCTTTTAGTGTCTTCTGTAGATATGGTTGGTAGATAGGTTTGGCTAAAATTTGATTTTATTATGGAATGTTTTTCTTTCTTCTTTGGTTGTGATTGATAGCTTTGTTGAGTATAGTTGTCTGGTCTGGTGTCTGTTGTCTCTCAGAGTTCACTGAACAGCCATGCAGGCCTTTCTGGCTTTCAGAGTCTCCAGTAAGAAGTGAACTGTGAGGAATGATGGCTTTTTTGCCTGTCCCCAAACAGAAACCATGGAACTGGGTTGGAGAAAGTTGCATGTAAAAACCTTTTTCTCACATATTTCCCCATTACTGAAATTATGAGGATCTACCTTTATATGTGACTTGGTATTTTCCATTTCAGTTTTTAATATTCTCTTGGTTCTATCCATTTAGGACTTTGATCATTATGTATTATAGAGAATTTCTTTCCTGGTCCTGCCTATATGTGTTCTGTATGCCTCCTGTACCTTGAGAGGTACCTCCTTCTTTAGATTGAGGAGTGTTTTACTAATTTTATTAAAAATATTCTCTGTGGGATGGGGCATAGTTCAATGGTTAAGAACACTTGCTACAGCTGGGCAGCGGTGGCACACGCCTTTAATCCCAGCACTCAGGAGGCAGAGGCAGGTGGATCTCTGTGAGTTCTGAGACAAGCCTGGTCTACAAGTCTACAAGAGCTAATTCCAGGACAGCCTCCAAAGCCACAGAGAAACCCTGCCTCAAACCCACCCCCAAAGAAAAGAACACTTGCTACTCTTCCAGAGGACCCAAATTCGAATCCCAGGACCAACATGGTGGTTCACCATCACTTGTAATTCCAGTTTGTGGGAATCCTATGTCTGTTGCCTCCTAGGACAGTGGACCCATGTGCACATACACACACACACACACACACACACACACACACACACACACACACACAATTAAAAATAATAAAAATAATCTTTTTTGTTTGTTTGTTTTTTTACAAGACAGGGTTTCTTTGTATTGTTTTGGAGGCTGTTGGTCCAGCCCGGCCTGGAACTCACAGAGATCTGCCTGCCTCTGCCTCCCAAGTGCTGGGATTAAAGGTGTGCGCCACCACCGCCCGGCATAAAAATAATCTTTAAATATATTTTTCTGTGCCTTTGACCTGGACTTCTTCTTTTCTATCCTATTTTTTATTAATTGTGTCTTTTTGTAATGTCCTAGATTTCCTGGATGTTTTGTGCCTGGGTGTTTTGTTTTGTTTTGTTTTGTTTTTAGATTTAACATCTTCTTTGACTCCTTGTCTAAGTTTTTTTTTTTTTACCTTGTCTTCAATGTCTGATATTCTCCCTTCCATGTCTTATAATCTGTTCATAAGGCTTACTCTGAGGTTTGTGTTTGACATTTTAATTTTTTATTTCCAATTTTATTGCAATTTATATTTCCTTTAGTTATTCTATCTCCTTCTTTAATTCTATTTTCATGTCTTAAATAATTTTCAGTGTGTTATTCTGTTGGTTGTGTTTTCATGGACTCACAGACCCTTCTTTGGGGTCCTTGAACACATTCATAACTGTAATTTTGGCCTTTGTGTTTCTACTACATTGCGTTTCCTGGAACCTACTCCGATAGGATCACTGGTAGAGCAGGTTGTCTTGGCTGTTAATGCTTATGTTTTTGAGCTAGGATTTAGGTAACTGGAGTTATGATGCTTGAGGTATTACTTGGTGTTGATACTTAGTCTTGTCCTTGTTGGGTGGGTATTCTGCTGTTTGGTTGTTGTCTCTCTGGAACATAGGCAAGTGTGATGTCTGGCGAGTCCCTGGTAGAGAGAGATTCTGTGGGCCAATGGGTAGCAGAAAAATGGAGATGGTATAGGAGTATAGGCTGAGAGGAGCTCTGGGAAAGAGCTAGAGGGGCCAGGGTTCATACCAAAAGACAGAGTTCCCAATAACAGAGGTGGTCTTGAAGGAGGTGCTTCTGCTAGTTTGTTGGTATAAGAATAGGCACAAGTCTGGAGATATCATAATGGATAATAGGAAGATAATAAAAATTCCATACCTGAGTTTCAGTCCAGTGTAGCAGCTGGGGGTCCCTGGTAGAAAGTGTTTCTGTGGGTTGGCAGTTGACACAAAGGAATGGAGATGAGCTAGTAGACTCATTTATAATAATTTATTTTAAAATATTAGTACATTATATAAATAACTAACAACAACTGTTTTTTTTTGCTCAGAAATGTCTATTAATCTCCCATCAGGGATTATGACAGGATGTTGAGTAAACTTTTTTTTACATTCCTGAAACCAAGGCCAAGACCCATAGCTAAAGATAATAAATCCTAAATTCTATAAAGCTATGACCTCCCGCAGGGCTTACTATGACAGATTAAATCGAAATTTGGCTTTACAGTAAACCCCACGTCCCTGAACACACAACCAGAAACAGAAGGTGATGTAAGTATAAAGGACAACATATGGAGAAGAGAAAGTTCTTTAGAGAGATTTTTGTGGGAAGCCAAGAGCATCCCTTACCAAAAGCCAAGGGAAAGAACTCATATGTGAAGACCAGAGCATCAGCTAAATGCTTGGGCCTTGCAAATGATTCAAATAAAAGCACAAAATGACACAGGACTGTTAGATAAAGTGGCTGTGTCTAAAATCTTTTTCTCAGAAAGAAGCTTGTACTTCTGGGTCTGAATGATGGCCTAAGAAGGTAAGAGGATGTAGAAATTTCCTTCTTGTTGAGATCACTGAGTGTATGTAAGGGTGTGGAAAAGGATGCCAATGCTGTCTCTAAGAGGCACAATGCAGACATTGACAAATCTCACCAGGAAACACCAGATGCCTGAGTAGTGTTTACCACTGTTCATTGAAACCATCCCAGTCAACCCCTTGGGCAAAAGTTCAATAGCATCCCGGATAACTTGGTGACATCATAGTATCTTCAGTTTTCATCAGTTCTTCTCATGTTCTCATCTTTCATGGTCCCACCTCAGCCTGTAACAGGTCCACAAAGAGAAGATTTAAGCAGTCAATCAAAGTTTTTAAATAAAATGTTACTGAGTGAAGTCATTCAGGTCAAGAAAGACAAGTATTGCATGTTCTCTCTCACATGCAGTTCCTAGCTTCAAATATTTAGTTTTGTGTGTTTAACGTGGACTATATTTGGAAGCCACCAGGTGGGGAGCAGCAGAAAACATTAATCAAGGAGATAGTAAAATACAGGTACAATGAAAGTAATGAGGAGAAACACTGAGACCAGAAAGATTCAAGAATGGAAGGGAGTGGGGAAATAAGGAAATGAGGGGCTAAAGGTATGTTAAATTGTGCACGAAAAGAAACTATGTGAGAATTACTATCTTTCAGCCCAAGAGAAAAATATAATTAAGGGTGGAATAGAACACATGTGTTGTGTGACAGGCTTTTCCTGGGGAAACCAAGACATACCCAAGCAAGGGAACCCATGACAGTCCAAAGTACTGATTGTACCAATGCCCAGTTTAGTGAGCCAATGAGTTTTTAATTAGGAATGCTAACAGGAACGGTGGTAAGGGGTAACTCAAAAGAAGCAGTAATGACTCAAAACCTGATGTATCACCAGCAAGCCCACCACAACATGGGTGATGGCTGCAGTTGTACTTTTTTGGGTCACCAGCTCCTAACTAATGACATGGAGACTTCTTATTAATTATGAAAGCTTGGTCATAGCTTAGGCTTATCCCCAAATAGCTATTAAACTTAACCTGTTTATACTAATCTATGTTCCAACATGAGGCTCGTTAACTTTCCTCAGTACCGTACATCTGACCTCCTCCATGTCTTGCTGACAAATCCTGCCTTAGATTCTTCCCAGCATTCCTATCTCTCTCCAGAAGGCCTGCCTATCCTCTCCTGCCTAGCTATTGGCTGCTCAGCTCTTTATTAAACCAATCAAAAGCTGCCTTAGGAAGGTGAGGTAAAACAGTAATACATCTTCATACAATGTGATCAAATATCCTGCAGCAGATGACTCCTGTAAACTGCAGCCCTGAAGCTCTCCTTTCAGCTTGCAGGCAGTTTCACAGTATAAGCATCTCTTTCCCTCCACATTTTTGTTATCTAGAGTATCAATCCCCAACAACTGTTTAATTATTTTAGCACTACTAGATAACCACCCTGAGGAAGCTTCCAAATTCCCATTCTCCCTGCCATGTTACCTTCTATTTACTTCATGAGGCTCAAGAGCCACCCTTCCTTCTTGGAGTAAATGTTTTGATTTGGAAGGAATGTTGCAATTCTGAAGAAGAGGCCGTACAATATGTGACAGAAGCACAAAGATAGTGTTGGGATTGTGTTAGAGGGGTGGAAAGGAGAAGTGGTAGAGGCTAACAAAAAAAAAAAAGAGGATATATGAAGAAACCTTATAAAAACCCTCCAGTTTGGAAGCTAATCAAAAATATGTAATCTTTAAAGGAGCCTGAACAGAGGGACCCTGAATAAATGGACAATACTGCTCCCAGAAGACATTAGCTATTAAATGAAAATCTCAGGGCCAGACTGTGGTGATACATTGTTTACGATCTAACAAAGTTTGCCTCCAGATCAGAATGCAAAGCCAGCCACACTAATTAGCCATAGAGGCAAGGCATGGTGGCCCACACCTTTAATTCCAGGACTAAGGAGACAGCAAGAGATGGAAATCTGTGAGTGCAAGGCCACCCAGGGTTACATGAGAGTGAATCAGCCTAAAAGAGAAACAGAGTTCATGCCTTTATTCTGATATTCACTTCTGAATCCCTCCTGAGGATGTAGAAATTAGCACCAATGTACAAAAGATGCCATTTCAGACATAGATCAATTGCATGATTCGTTATGGAGCTAATCCTGAGATTTAGTTATCCCATCCCTACTTTGAGTGCTATTTACACAAAGCCTTCAGCATATGCCTGCAAATTCTTAGTCTTCACACTAAATATCAGATCTTTACCAAGAATAGCTTCTTTGCCAATGGTTTGTACAACACTGGGCACTGGTTTTTCTTTTGTTCAACATTAATGGATTATTTGCCTGCTTCTGGCTCCCCTACCCCAACACCTGAGAACTCTAGCCCAGTCAGTGCCCTTTGCCATAACCAATGGCTTCTACTGAGTTTCCATGATAGGAAGAGTTGTAGCATCCACTGTTTTTCTGTCAGGGAAATCAGTCACAAATAGTGGCATAGCTAAAACCTGAGTTCTCTCAATTGCCCACCCTTGCAACACTTTGCATAACAGAGGCATTCACCTGAGGCAGTGGGAGGAACTGTTTCAAAGGAAGGCTGATATGGACTCAGCAGTGAAAAACCAGGTATTGTATAACTTAACTCCTACAGCCACCCCAGTGCCAGCAGCCAGTTTCTTCCCATGGATTTGAAAGAAAATAAATTGTATTTTGTTCTTATTCCCTGTTTTTAAAAAAAGTATCAGTATAGGGTCTGGAGAGACTGCTCAGTTGTTAAGAGCAATGGCTCTTCTTATAGAGGACAGAGGTTCTGTTCTCAAAATCCATGTGGTGATTCACAGCCATCTCCAACTACAGCTCCTAGAGAGCCAGTACCTCTTCTGACCTCATCAGGCACCAGGCACATACATGATACACACACATACATGCAGGCCAAATAATCGTACACATAAAATAAAATAATCAGTCTCATTATATGGCAGAAAAAGAACAGTGGTCAGTTGCTTATGCCTCATACACAGCACTTTTTCCCCCAATTTCATAAGTTGACAGATTTCTCCCTAACTTTATAGTATTGAGAGTCTTAATTGGTATTGTAAGTATATTCCACCTTATAGAATGTCATATTAAGCCACTATAGACAAGCTTTCCCTTGAATCTATGTGTAATTAGTCCTGAAGTTCACATTACAATAAGAAAGATTATCTTCTTTAAGTCATAACTTGTAGTTCATTTAAAGTCTGATCTTCACATACAAAGAGAAACAGATGGTTGAATATGATCTTCCAGAATGAATAAATGTCAAGAACATTCTTCAGCTGTAGTTGATACCTATGGGAATTTGGAGAGTACAGTGTGTAATGCACTCTTAATCCATATGTATGTGAGTTGTCACCTTTGCCAAAGTCATTGCTGTATTTGTATTGGCGAATCTCAACAATGCATTATGTCCAAATGCAAGCTCCTAATACTGTGCAGAACTACAAAATAAAATGTTGCCTGTGCTTCACAGAATGAAAGTTAGCTTTTTTTTAAAAAATCGAAGAAAAAATATAAACTCATAGCAAAATTGAGTTAAAATTGGCCTTGGCATAGTATCATGTACATCTTGACTTCTTATACAGCCTACTCAACTTCACACCTGACAGAAAACATTAACCTAAAAGAGAAAAAATCAAAACAGTAAAGTTTGTCTTTCCATTATATTGTGTAAGTTTCCATATGTGAGGTACATATAGTACAATGAATATGCATTGTTCAAAGAAACTATGTTAAATTCATGTACAAGAGTGTACCAACATTGTGCAAAATTTCACATGCAGCATCTCCTGGTGCCCCAAAGTTTAAATTTCAGGATTTGAGAAAATCCACTGGTTTCTCCTGATTTAGAAAGGTAACTCCCAGAAAATTAAGAAAAGAGGAATTTTTCTGATCATAATTTTTTAAATCTATAAGATTTTGTTATAACACACTTACAGGTGTTATAAGATCAGGAAAAAGCCAGTATAACTTACCACTGTACTGAGGCAAGGGCAAGAAAGAAAAGGTTCACAGATGTGGGAACACCAGACCTTGAACAGAGACCCACTTCCCTTCAGCCTGGGAGTAGGCAGCTGTAAGACAATGTTTACTGAAAACATGTTTACTGAAAACAATTCAGTGCCATAGAGCTCTTGGTAGGGCTCCAATAAGGGCTCACTCACTGAAACACCATGACTTTGATCCCCCCTACAGCTAGATGCTTCTTCCTGCTCCCTGCTGTTTCTCCCCGATTCTGGGGCCAGAGATTAAACCACCAGCCAGGAGGGTGAGAAGTCTGTGAGAGCTGTGAGAGGTGTGTGAGAGCTCGGTTGGAGAATTGTGTGTGTATGGATAACAGAAGTTTTTAAAAAGGGAAGCGTTTTTTCTTGGGGAGTTCTCCTAAGCCGACTTGGGGAGCATAAAGTTTTCTTAAAGCAACCGACAGGTCTCTGTGTCATCTATCCCGACCACCTCGCTACATTCTCGGATGCAGGCTGCTCAGCAGGTGCAAAACGCAGACAAGAAAAGATAAAATAGAATTAGCTGTACTCAGTGAATTATATAACATCTGCAGAAAAATCACAAAGAATTTCCAAAAACAAGGAGAAAACTGTATGTGGAGAAATTAAAAGACACAAGTCTGGAATGAAAAAAAATAGTCACTTGTATTTCTATATAATGGAGCAAAGATTCAGTAACATTTATAAACGAACATTGAAAGAAGCTCAGATAATTCAGGGTAATAGGGCTGCCTGCTCATAAGCTAATGACAAAGTCAGAAAGTAAAACATGGGATATACATAAGGATAGAAAGAAGAGAACTCAGGAAGGACATAAAGGATACCTGCATAGAGCACAAAAGCAAATGAGTGAATCAAATAACAAGCCAAACACAGATCAATAACACTTTAAAGATTTTAAAGATTGTCTAAAATGGACTCTAACTGCACAGAGTAAGATAGATAGATAGATAGATAGATAGATAGATAGATAGCAGAAAGATGGTTATGGATGGGTGATAGATAAGCAGATAGATGATAGCTAGATAAATGATAGATGATAAATATGTAGATATAGATAGATGATAGATAATATAAATTGATAGAGTATAGGCATATGATAAGTAGATGATAGATATATGATTGATATAAATAGATGATAGATTGATAGATTGATTATAGGTAGATGATAAATAGATGATAGACATATGATTAATATAAATAGATGATAGAGATTATATAGATAGGTTATAGATGATTGATAAATATATGATAGCT